TTTTCGAACGTAACTCATAATTGATACAACAGTAGTTAATAAAATTGAACACGCTACCGTCCCTGTCTAAATGATTGTATTTATCTGTATCCTTGGAATCAAGAAGTTATGAATTATATATACGTTTAAAACTCAGTAAATGTAATAATAAGTTATTCCAAAATTCGCTTGAAAATGAAACAGAACTAATGCTTTTGATTTAATTTGAAGTTTTTAGCTTCGGTTTTTGAAACCTGGACATTCTTGTGTAGTGAAGAAACCATATTTTAAATCAGTTAATTTATGATATTTATGCTCTGCAAATTTACATTCAGTACTGTTTTGTAAAAATAAGAATATCAGTAAGAACATCGGATTATATATCTTACTGTTCTTTCTTTTTATTATGATATATATATATATATATATATATATATATAGCCTCATCCACATGTAAAAAAACTGAACATTATGCAGGCATTAGTAATGTAAATGAAAAAGCCAAAACTGAAACAAGCTAAAACCAGTATGAATACGGCCACAATGTGTTGATCGTGTTTAAGAGAAAAAAATTCCGAATGGTAGAGATACACATATATGAATAATTAAATATTCAATAAAAATTAAAAAATTCGTTCTTGATAATAGCTAAGCGAATAGCCAAAATCTTTCGAATATATAGGACATTTGGCCAGATTTTACACACTTTATCTCCAGAAAAGAAAACATGCATAGGAACAAAAAACAAACAAAAAAAGCAATGAATCAAAATTTTAATCACAGTACCTGTAAGTCGTCTTTACCTGTCAGTCGTAATGACTGACATGTATCCGAACAGGGATTGCTTCTCAAATACACAATATATATATATATATATATATATATGTGTGTTTTTTTTGTTTTGTTGTGTGTGTGTGTGTGTGTGTGTGTGTGTGTGTGTGTGTGTGTGTAAAGATGGTGTTCAAGCATGAAACTGATTGTCGCTATACTTATATTTACACACGTTATATCCTGGACATCCGGCAATTGACTACGGTTAACCATAATTATAACATACCTTAAAACTATATTCTATTAGGTTGGTGCAAAAATAATTTCGTTTTCTAACATATGTTACTATGTGAGAAAACGTAATTATTTTTGCACCAACCTAATAATTACACACACACACACACACACACACACACACACATATATATATATGTATGTATGTATGTACAGTCGAAAGTACTTGCCTATTAAAGGAAGACCTTATACAGCTTATAATTTAAAAAAACAAACAAGGATCATAACATTCATCGAGTGATTGGTAGGTTAATTCATTTAAAAAAAAATTCCTAACGAAGGGATTTCGCCATTTTTATCATTAACTTTACTAATTTACTTTCTGTATGAATGATTCATTGTAATATATATATATATATATATATATATATATATATATATATATATATATATATATATATATATATATAAATATATATTAAAAAAAAAGTTGGTACACAAATGCAGTCTCCTCAGTTGATTGTAAATTCTTGTGAGACCGTAACATACCTACAACATGGACTCTTCCAGGACTATATAAAGTATGCGATATAACAGTCTAGGAGAAGAGGAGGAAAGAGAGAAAGAGAGAGAGAGTATTCTAATACCGTAGTATCAGTCGCGTACGACTACCAATATTGGACACTAGTACATAGTAAGCTCCGCTTACACTTACACTATCTTTGTAACCTTTTTGTTTAATATATCTTTCTTACCTCTAACCCGTGTTCCGTGTTTTTCTTCTGTGGTCCCAACTTTGGGTCCACATCAAAATTACAGACGAATGGAGGATTAATTTGGTTTATAAAGCAAAATACATCCTCTTTTTGCGAAAAAAAAAATTATCAGGCTTATAACCTTTTTATATATTATTGAAGTATGTGCTATTAAAGACTACAGAAGTTTCCCGATTAAAAATCTGTTCTTTCTTGCTTTCTCGCAAGTTTCTTTATATTTAGGTCTTCTTTATTTCTATGTGCCTGTCCTTTCATGATGTAGGCGATCATGTCTCTCCACTTCCCTCTATGCCTTGCAACCCTCAACAAGATCCGTCCCTCTGCCACCACCATGATGGCGTCCTATTATCCATTTGCTTAAGCCCGCTAGGTATGTCATGCGTTGTTTTCCCTTGTCTCTCTTTCCTTCTATCCGATGTGTGAATATCATATTCTCCAGGTCCTCCTTCCTCATTACGTCTCCCAGAAACTTCAGCTACCTCTTCCTCATGTTAAGTATAATTCTTCTCCTTGTTTGCAACCTCTCTAAGACCTCATCTTTGCTCATGCACTTGGTTCATTATAACCTCTGCATCCTTCTTTAGAACCACATCTACATCATCTTTGAGGGTACCGTTCAACATTCGCTGCTGTAAAGGAAGACTGAGGTCACCTAACAGCTTAGTACTCTTTTTCTTTGTCACCAAAGAAATCCTCCTGCCTCGCAATAATCTGCCCAGCTTTTGGAATCTCAGTATCACACTTACCGTCCTCTGTCAAAACGCTTTCCAGATTTTTAAAACTCCGCATCTGCTTGATTTTTGTGTCCCCGACCGGCAAATCGCATTTTGGGCTCATCTTCTTATTGACGACCATGCATTCTGTCTTCTTATAGTTTATGCTTAGTCCTTTTTTCTCACTCTCCATCGCTACCTTCTGTAGGAGATTTTGTAATTAATTTTCCGTGTCTGCTATCAGTACTGTGTCAACTGCGTATCATATGTTGTTAAGATTTTGGCCGCCAATGCCGAATTCCTGTGGGGTTTCCAGTTCTCTCAAAATTGCCTGTATATATTGAACAGGTCCGGTGAGAAGACACATCCTTGCCTTACGCCTCTTTCTATTTTTGTATATCTGCAGAACTCGTTCTCTATGCGCATACATACTGTTCGCTGCCAGTATAGGTTCTTGATTATTCTAATATCTTTCCCGAATATATCGAGGTTGCTGAGCAGTTCCATCAGATCCTTATGGCGTAATTTGTCGAATGCCTTTGCGTACTCTAGGAAACATAGGTACACGTTCTTCTGCATTTGTATCGATCTTTGTTATAACATTCTGAGCATGAACATCGCGTTCCTTGTTCAGGTGTCTTTAACGAACCCGATCTGTTCTTGTCCTATCTCTGGCCTGATTCTGCTGCGCGCTCTGCTCATTAGAATACGGATGGTGAGTTTTGTCACGTGACTCATTAGGCTTATTTTTCGGTGGAGTTCACATTCGTTTGCGCCTGGTTTCTTAGGCATTGCTATGAAGATAGATCTGCTGAGCTCTTCCGGTATATCTCCGCTGTTATAGATTTCAGTTATTATTTTTTTGAACTTGTCTATACCAAAGTCATCTAAGTCTCTCAGTATTTCCGTTACAATTCCGTCTGGCCCTGCTACCTTGTTTCTGTTCAATTTGGCCAGTGCTACTTCTACTTCGGTTTTCAGAATTTCAGGTCTTTCGGTAGCTTCTGTGTATTGCTGGTTGTGTAAGAGTTCTCCAGTATACTCGCTCCAGCTTCTCTAATATGAGTGTTCCATCCTTTGATTTTAGGCAGCACTTTGAGAATGTCTTCTGTCCTGTTAGTTGTCTTATTTGTTTGTGCAAGTCTCTTTTGTTGTTAGTACTCAGTCTTTCTATTTCTGCACATTTTTCGTTTAGCCATTCCTCTTTAGCTTGCCTGCATTTGGTCCTTATTTCATTATTTACTCCGTCCTGTATCTTGGCATGTTTTTTTTTTATCTCCTTTCCATCATGTCGAGAATCTTACCAGTCATCCAATCGTTTTCCCTCTTCGTCCTGTTTCCTTTGGGATGATGTCGTTTGCTGATGTCACTAAAGCGTCTCATAGTATGCCCCATTTCGAGTTTCTATTTTGTCTTTCGTATGTTCTTTTCACATTGTCTATATATTTTTCTTTTAAGTTCGGGTTACTCAGGAGTTTGTTGTACTGCAGCTTAGGCTTCTTCTGTTTCCGTAGTTTCACTCTTAGTTTGCATAAAAGAGGGCGATGATCACTTCCGTAGTAGGCAATTGGGTAGGTTTTGCAGGGAATCATTGAATTCCTGGATCTTTTTTGATGGTGATACAATCAATTTGGTGTTTAGTTTCTCCTCCTGGACTCCTCTATGTTCATAGTCGTCTCGAATGCTCTTGGAACCATGTGATGGCTTCACTTGGTCATTGGCTGTGCAGCATTGGGTCCATTTTTCCCCACGTTTGTTGCAGGTTTCTAGTCCAAATCTTCCTTCTATACCCCCTGCCCTCACCCTGCCTACTTTGCTGTTTATGTCTCCCATGATAATTACTTCCTGAGATATGCCTAGAGCCTTTGCATTGTCTATCATGGAGTAGAAAGATTCGATGTCCTCTTCCATACTTTGTGCCGTCAGTGCGTACACAACTATGATAGCTACAATGAAAGGCTTTCCTTTCAGATTAACTACCAGTATTCTTTCAAAATGTTCCTCTCAATAGATAGCTATAATCTTCAAAAAATCCTCCCTATACCCAGTCTTTTCTCTAACTTTCACTCTCTGTAGTCCTCTGTTTACTAGTGGCACTCCCGCCTTGTCTGGGGTGAAATGTTTAAAAAGACGTATTTCATTTTAAGGATTTTTTTTTCCAAAAAAATGAAGGGTGGTCTCAAAATTTTTGCATATATTGGATAAATAAGCAAGATAGATTCTGACGAGAAAGATTTTCAAGTATGACATAGTAATCCTATTTTCTTAGCATTCGACATCGTTCCGTATATTTAGTATAGTATGGATCATTTTTATCATTACCAAGTGTATATTACATTGACAAATTTTTGTGGATAAAAGTGATTTTTCTAGATAAATATCTTAATATTGAACCCATAGTAAGGAGGAGAGGGATTAGTGCGTTTCCCAAGAGGTATTTGCAGATGAATGTAATGAACTTGCCTGAACTTCGAACTCGAATCTCTGATTTCTCACGACAAACCGCTTTCCTTGACATTGCCCGTACATCCAGATAGATAGATAGATAGATAGATAGGGGAATTGCTGGATAAGGCATTTATGTTTTCTATCATCAGTAAAAATTCATATTGTTTTCGCATTTTTGCAATTTTACGCAGAGATACAAAAGGTAACCGATTTCTCGTTTTATATCTGATAATTTCGAAGAAACACTAAAGCCTTTGTAAAAAAATATTTTTATCTTTTTTCAATGCATGCTGACATCTCATCTACTCCCGTTGATTCACGTCAAATCTCATTGCCGCGATTTTCTTCGTTATTGTCAACTCGCTTCTTCCTTTTAATCAACGGAAAAGCAAGGCTAGCTGCAATGGTAATGTTAATGATAATGCAATGAAATCACCTTGATAAGTTATCAATAGACACTAATGCAGATTTCTATCAGCCATCATTATTTTATTTCAGTATTTCTCGCTCTCTGAATTTGATTGGCTTCTTAGAATATAATGTTAATTAGTAATTACTATATGGTCAATCAGGGTAGGCAGGAGGTGCAGTTGTTTGCGGGACGGAGCTCGAAATCGGCGAGTCGATTTCGTTTTCCAGTAGAGTGCAGTGCATCATCTTTCGCTCACATTTAATTAAGAAAGGTGTGAGTCTACTTTTTCTCCACCTCACCCCGAACTATGGGTTATGGATTCTTCAGGCAATCAGTCTGCCAAGATAACTTTGAAATCAAAGCCGATCTATCTATCTATCTATCTATCTATCTATCTATCTATCTTCCTTCTTTTCTTTTCATGCAGCTATCGACTCTATCCCTTGAAAACTACTACGGACTTACGGCCACATCATTTTGAAGCACCAGTTCCCGAACGTCACCGAATTTAAGCAACATCTAGCGTAGGTGGTTGTTTGCGAATACCTGGTGCTGTAAGCATGGTTGTAATGGCTGATGGCTCGGAATTGTTAATCGTAGAGCTCCGTTCTAATTCCCATTTGTTCACATACGAACAGTTACCCTTGGGAAGGTATGAATTCACCTCTTCTCTCCCCAGCTATGGGTTAATTAGTAAGACTTGTATCATTAAACGACTAATATCTTCCTCACCACGGACAATATTCTAAAAATCTAAAAACAATACTTTATGGCTTTAAACAGTATGCAAAGGGGTGATAAGCCGTAAAAAATGAAGCGATCTACTTACGGCGTAAACCAAGGCAATACACCCAAGCATGTTAAGTGTTGTGACCATAAACTTCATATTTGGTGATTGCGGGAATTGTAACTTATTTATAATTATATTTTAATGATAATAATTTATGAAATATTTTTATAATATTTATTAATAATTCTGTGTATCCCTTCTTTCCTTAGTTAGCAAGTACGTTACATCCTGTCTGTACCTCATAAATAATAGAACATTCCGTTTTGATCAGGAGAGCGAGAGGAGACATTCCAGAGACAGGGTTTAGTTTCAATAAGAAAAAGAAAGAAAGAAAGAAAGAAAGAAAGAAAGAAAGAAAGAAGGAAGGAAGGAAGATAGATAGATAATGGAAAGTCTTAGATAGATAGATAGATAGATAGATAGATAGATAGATAGATAGATAGATAGATAATGGAAAGTCTGATAGATAGATAGATAGATAGATAGATAGATAGATAGATAGATAGATAGATAGATAGATAATGCAAAGTCTGAGATAGATAGATAGATAGATAGATAGATAGATAGATAGATAGATAGATAGATAGATAGATAATGGAAAGTCTTAGATAGATAGATAGATAGATAGATAGATAGATAAATAGATAGATAGATAGATAGATAGATAGATAGATAGATAGATAGATAATGGAAAGTCTGAGATAGATAGATAGATAGATAGATAGATAGATAGATAGATAATGGAAAGTCTGATAGATAGATAGATAGATAGATAGATAGATAGATAGATAGATAGATAGATAGATAGATAGATAATGGAAAGTCTGAGATAGATAGATAGATAGATAGATAGATAGATAGATAGATAGATAGATAATGGAAAGTCTGAGATAGATAGATAGATAGATAGATAGATAGATAGATAGATAGATAGATAGATAGATAGATAGATAATGGAAAGACTGAGATAGATAGATAGATAGATAGATAGATAGATAGATAGATAGATAGATAGATAGATAGATAAAGAGGCGATAATAGGTTTAACGTCTGTTTCAGCGGAATGGAAAAAGTTGGCAATTTCAAGTTTTTTCTACACTCAGTTTATACCCCATGAATAATAGACTATTGTTGATGTTGTTTAGGAAAACCAGAGAAGACATTTAAGAGATTCTGTTTGCTTTAACTGAGAAAAACACAGACTGAGCGAGAGCAGGGAAGATAGATGAGGCAATTACACTCATGTGTTTAACGTCTCTATTCATGTTTTTTTTTTTTACGTCTGTTTGGGAAATAGGAAAAGTTTTCATTTTCAAATTTATTCTACACCCTGCTAATACCTCATAAATAATGAACTATTCCGTTTTGATTGAGAGAAAAGACGGAAAGACATATCAGAGTTGCTACTTGGTTTCAATGAGAAAATGATAAAAAGAAAGAATGAAGGGAAGACAGAAATAGTAATAACACATACGTATTTAACGTCTGTCTCAGTGAAATCAAAGAAGTTGTCAATTATAATATTTTCATTTGGATCCTCTTCTCAAAATAGCTACCAGCATTAATTTTATGATTGTTAATGCAATATTGTGTTGAAATGTTAAGAATAAATATTTAACGATGCGATAGTCGAATTTCTACGGATAGATTATTATCGTAAATCTTGCCGTTAGTTTATTCACTACTTAAGAATTAATTTAAGATTCTTCATAAATCTCAAATATGGAAACTGAAATTTTCACGTGTATTTCTAGTATTAATATTCAATCAATTAACCTCATTTTTTCCCAATTTTAATTGTTCGCTTAAATAGTGTATATATGATATACAATTAATACCGGGATTGATGCCCAGTGACACAATTATTTTTCGAAAGTATCTTTTGCTATCATTTCCAGAATAAAGTCCATCTATTTTTACAGTTTAGTGACAGATTTCTAAAACTTACCGAACAACATTGTAAAATTTGATCCTAAAAATTTGTCATAATGATATTGAGATAAGGACTGAATCCTCCATTCCACGCTAATCCGTTGACATTTAAACAGCAGTAGAGGTTTATCCATTTTCCTGTTTCAAATTGAAATTCCAGTCCTTTATGAAACTTCTCCTTCTCTTTCACTTACACTAGCCCCTTACGTCTTAGTCGTATTACTGCTTGCTTGAGATGAATTGATTAAAAAAAACTGATACGATAACTGCAGGTGACATTTCGCCGTGATGCGATGGTTAAAAATGTGCCCATACTGCACATTACTACTCTAGTATTCACACTAGATATACACCATACATGGCATTATGCAGCGTTAAACAAAAATATGTAAACTTAGTTATCGATAACTAATTATATAGGAGCTGAAAAAAATAGGTATATAGTAAGTACTGATGTTATGATTGATATGTTTATATAATCAATAGATTTTGTGTGTACATTTTATTTTTCATTACTATATACCTACATATGTATCTCCAATGGATTACATAATATTTATGTTGGTCACACCACAAACACGCTTTCACGACGCTTGACTCTACATTTCAATGATAACTCTAACATTTTTAGGCATTTAAAACAACATGCCTGGCCGCATACACAAATCTAGAAAATCCTAGTTGAAAACAGAACTATACTTAAACATGAAAACAATAACCAAAAAAAAAATACTTGAAGCTATATGCATAAAACAGTTGAAACCTAACCTGAACAAAATAATCTGAAATCTCCACAAATATTCTTAAATGCCTATAATTGATAACAGAAGCCATTGATTTATACCAACGGCTTCCCATACTTAATACTTAACTCTCGCGTGGTCATGTCTGACGTCACAAGCTGTGGTGCCATTTTCGCTTCCGCGTCTCGTATACACGAGTTTGTCGTTGCTTGCAAATCTTTCATGCAACAAGAACAGACTATCATTGTTGTTTTGTCGTATATTGTTTAATATATTGAAATTTAATTGTCATCTTTGATAATGGCTTATGCAAGCCGAAAGCTTAGATAGGATTAAAGAAACGTATGTATGTATGTATTAATATCTAAAAAAACGATAAACTCATTGGGTTTCGTCTTTCCAGGTTTTCAGATAAGACGTTGTGCCAACATGACACCATTTGTCGTAAGAATCACTGAAAACCCTTTGAGTTATTCAGTTACAAAGAAAACCGGTTAAAATCGTTTTGTGTCAGACCCACTGTCTTTTCAGTTGAGCAATGGTGAAAGGAAAACGATCATTCAGGCCTTCCGTAATGGTAACAACATTCATAATCAGGCTTCCATCTTCAAAGTTCACTCAAGAACCATCAAGAGAACGGTGAATAAATTTTAAAAAAGTGGGAACAGTGGAGAGGAAAACTGGATCAAAAGGTCACAACAGGAAGAGAGATCATCATTTCAACTTAATTAGAAAATATCCAGCTCGGCCATAAGACGTTTGGCACGTGAAAGAAGTGTTTCAGCTATGTCAGTTCAGAAGGCAGTGAAAAAAGACTCGAAAATGTTAATCGGAACATATACAGGCAAAGAGTCCATAATCTGCCGTGCTCATTTTTTTTAACAAGCCCAACACACGCAATGCTTCTGTCACGATGACTCGTTACTTCTTGCTGGCACAGATATCGATTCCTTCCGAACGGTTACGTATATCCATTTTCATCCCATCTATTCGAGGAAATAAAAAATCTCACTCTCAACATATTCTAAAAAAAGTGCTCTAATGTATCGGACATACATTTTTATATGCCGAAATCTATGAATTTGATATTATTTTCGAACGGAAGTAAATTTTGTTCAGTCGTTTATAAACAATGCGGTATCACGTGCCTTCTGAATTCCGTTTCTATACAAAGATAAGAAAATAATTAGATTTGCAATCACGAATGTTTAGAGAACTTGTAGCTTAAATCTTTAATCAAATGAATAAATAGAAAGATATATTTAAAAAGTGTACGTTCATCATTTTTTCTTTCCA